AGAGCAGTCACAATGAAGCACTGTGGGATAGCTCCCAGAGGCCAATAACGTCGAATTCCGTCCACACTACCCCAATTCCGACCCACAAATGGCAATTTTATCGCTAATCCCCTCATCGAAGGTGGTGTAAAGAAACCGGTTTAAAGGGCCCTTTAAGTCGAAAGAAAGGGCTTCGTCGTGTGAACGTGTCCAGGCTTAATTTGATTTAACGCTGCTAAAGTCGACCTAAACCCGTAGTGTAGACCAGGCCTCAGTGATTGGGGCAGCTAGAGTGCTACAGTGGAGTACAGCCTCCAGTAGTACCCTGCCATCCCAATAAAGGCCTGGACCTGTTTCTTGGTCTAGGGAACAGTCTAATCTCTCATCATCTCCTTGGCTGGCTCTGGGCACTCCCCCCCCCCTTGTGGCCCAGGTACAACACCTCTGTCATCCCCACCTTACACTTTCCAGCTTTTACCATCAGTCCTGCCTCCTTGAGGCAGCCCACCGCCCTCTTCACCTGGGACACATGTTCCTCCCAGGTCTGGCTAAAGACACAGATGTCATCCATGTATGCCAGGGCCAAGTTCCCATCCCCCTCAGTAACCAATCCACCTGGCGCTGGGAGGTGGCCGACACCCCCTTGAGATCGAAAGGCAGGACCAGGAACTCAAAGAACCCCAAAGGGGTGGTGAAGGCAGATTTCAACCTGGCATCTGGGTTGAAAGGCACCTGCCAGTTGCCCTTGGTGAGATACATAGTAGAGAGGTAATGAGCCCCCCCAGCTTGTCTAGACTCTCACCAGGCCTAGGCATGGGGTAGGCATCGGACACAGTGATGGCATTAAGCTTCCTATAGCCCACACAGAATTGGATTGACCCATCTTTCTTGGGGACCAGCCCCAAGAGTGAGACCCATGGGCTGTTGAATGGCTGGATCACCTCTAAAGCCAGCATGTCTTTGACCTCTCTCAAAAGGTTCTGGGCTGTTTTCCCAGTGATTCTGAATGGGGACCACCTGATGGGAGGATTGGCTCCCACCTCAGGGAAGAGATCCACCCAGGGGTCTCCCCCCTTCTCCTCCCAATCATCCCTTACCAGGTCCAGGGGTCCCCTCACTCTCATCCCATACAGAAGCTCAAAAGGGAAGAACCCTGTGCATTCCTGGGGCACTTCTCTGTACCACGGGTGGGGCAGGTACTTGTCCCAGTCCTGCGGATGCTGATTTATAAAAGTCCTCAGCATCATCCTCAGGGTCCGATAAAATCTCTCCACCAGCCTGTTGGACTGAAGGTGATATGCAGAGGCCCAGGTGAGCCAGACCCCACATTTCTCCCACAAGCTCCGGAGCAGGGCTGACATGAAATTGGAACCCTGGTCTGTAAGGACCTCACTGGGGACCCCCACTCTGCTGAAGATGGTCAGCAGCGCATCTGCCATGATGTCTGCCTAGGTGGAGGATAGAGCCACTGCCTCTGGCTAGCGGGTGGCAAAATTCATCACAACCAGGATGTATTTTCTTCCCTGACCGGGTCGCCTTGCTGAGGAGCCCCACTATGTCCATAGTCACCTTCTGGAAAGGTTCCTCTATGATGGGTACGGGTCTCAAGGGAGCTTCACCCTTATCCCAGGCCTTCCCCACCCTCTGGCAGGGGTCGCAGGACCTGCAGTGCTGCTGGACTGTGTCACAGACTCCAGGCCAGTAAAAGTTCTGCAGCAGCTGCTGACCGGTGCACTGATTCCCTGGTGTCCCGAGAGAGGGACATCGTGGGCCAGGTACAATAGCCTGCAGCAGTTCTTCTGGGGGACCACCAGCTGTCTCCTGATTCCCCACAGTTCTACTTCCCCTTGGGGAGCCCATTCCCGGTACAAGAATCCCTTCTCCCACAGGAATCTTTCCCTGCAGCCTTCCCCAAGTGGGTTTGCAGTGCTGTGACCAGCAAGTTCCCTCAGCTTCTCCAAGGGGGGATCCTTCTGCAGATCGGTCTGGAATTCAGCTGCTAGGGAAAGGAGTGGAACCTGTTCCCTCTTGCTGGCTGGGCCTGGGGTCAAAGCTCCACTGAGCCCCTGTCCCTGGTAGCTCTCTCCCTGCTGTGGAATCACCTCCCAGCAGCATATCTGGACAAGGAAACCTGGTTGGCAGCTGTCCTTCCCTGCCTGTGTGTCCCCCCACTCAGCTGGGGTCTCAGTTCCCCCCATGCTCAGCACCGCTGCCCTTACTGTCCCAGGGAGACCAGGCAGTGAGCTTGTTGCTTTGGTCACAGCATCAGAGCCAGCGTGAGCCCCCCTCTCCGGTGTGCAGGGGGTGGGGAGTATCTCCCCCTCCCACTCAGCCCCAGGAGTCTGGTTACAGACAGGCAGGTATCCTGGACCTAGCAGCTCCTCCCCCCTGCCAGCCAGTCATTTGCATTTTCACTGACACTTTCATTCTCAGCCGATTGGTTCCCTGGATTCAAATTCTTGGCCGTTACAGGAACAGGGCCTGGATCCTGTCCCAAAGAGAGACAGTCATCCCAGCTGATATCTTGGAGAACCCCAACAACCAGCCAGCCCAACCCCTCCTGTGTCTGCACAGGGATCTGAGCCATAGGCAGGGCGAATGGCTTCATACCTGGGACCTTCACCCAGGTCCCACAGCCCTGCGGCATTTGGTGGGGCTGCACCACCCAGGCCCTGACAACAGTTCTCTCTGTCCCAGAATCTTGCCATCCCAGGAATGTCTCCCCATTGACCATCACCTTCTGCTCCCACCGAGGGGCCTGATCAGGAGAGTCCACGCAGACATATAGGCCGGGGCCATGGGTGGAAGGCTGTCCCCCACCCCACCCATCTGGCTGATGGCGTCTATGGCCTTGGGACCCAGCAAGGGAGCTAGATTCTGGGGTTCTTCTGCAGGGTCCCCCTGGTTCAAATGGCCAGCCTGCTCAAAGGCAGTGAGGTGGGCATCCACATCCCCACCCCCTTAACCAGGGTCAGCAATTTAGTATCGAGGTTCCCTCACCCCTGGGAAGTCCCCTATACCTCTCTGCTACACCATTACCAGTTCATGCTGCTGCTGCTGCTTCTCCTGCAGCTCTTTCTCGGGCTCTTGCTGTCTTTCACAGGTCCTCTCGCTCCTTCTCACTGTCCTTCAGCTCTCTCGGACTCAGCTCCAATCTCATCCATCTCAGATCCCCTGATGGGGAACCCGATCGTGAAGACCCCTGTCTGGTTGTGTACAGGAGTCTTGGGGATGCCTGGCTAGTGCTCCAGCTGCTCCCACATCCTCTTGTAGCCCCATTTGGGTCAGGAATCTGCTCGTTAGAGGGGTCACCGTCCTCTACTGTGGTTTGATGAACTTTCTAATGCATAACCCTCTCTTTTTGCACAGGTTTAAAAT